ATTCTTATGCCCCAAACACATTGTACTGTATATTTGTGTGATGGAAATAAATATAAATATTGTTTTATTGTACAATAACTAAAACTTGCGGCACGCTTGCGGTGCCCACACGCTTTTACCTTCCTTTGTTGAATATAAGTGATATTGAAAATAGAAGGACAGGGCTGTTTTATATTCCAAAGCGATTCTTATGACCATATTGAGGTGCGATGAATTACAATAAATCACGCCAAGGTCAGACATTTTAACGGCCTAATGAAATGCCATACCACCCACGATTTATATCTGGGTTCATGTGTGGCTCTGGCTTTGTGTAACCCTGAAAAAGTTAAGTCATACCCAGAATGTATGTTGTTAACATTATCTTATGCTCATGAATGCGAAGTATTACCGAACCATTTCGACATAGGGTCCTTCAAGAAAAGTGCGTACCAATTCTTAAAAGGCCGGTAACGCACTGGCGAGCACTCTGGCATTGAGTGTCCATGGGTTGCGGGGCGGTATCACTTAACACCAGGTGAGCCTCCAGCCATTTCCCTCGTTAAATAAAAAAAAATGGTCTATGCAATTTTTGCTTAAAATAGAAAAAAAAACCTTATTAAAATCACTTCTAATGGGTTAAAAGGCAATTCTGCAGTTGAACTAAAATATAGCAACAGTCAGTCAGGAATTTTAATTCGTAAAACCATAAATCGCTTATGTGTTGGCGACTTATAACCATCTACGAAAACAAAATGTTTGCACGTTAATTAACATATAAACCTTCTGAAAAAAGACGGCTCATTGGTCTAGTGGTTAGTACCCCTGAATGCGAATCCATGGGTCCCGGGTTCGATCCCCGGCTGAGACGAACATCGATGTGATGAGCATTTGGTGTTGTGCTTAGGTCTTGGGTGTTTAAATATGTATTTATATGTCTATCTATCTATAATATGTATGTATATCCGTTGCCTAGTACCCATAACACAAGCTTCACCAGCATGGGACTAGGTCAATTGGTGTGAATTGTCCAATAAAAAAAAATATAAAAAAAATCCCAAATTATTTTCGTCCCTAACATTATCCTAAAAATAATCCAAACTCGTCACCGTATTGGTAAAAGTAACTCTTTAAATTCCTGTTTAAACCCGATAATGTAATTATATTTAAACATACGCCAAGTACATGTTAAAGTGCACAAGGCAATCGACATTAATGGCTGATTACATCACCAATTGTTGACTATGGATTACTTAAACACGCTAAAACCTCCGAAAAGTGTTAATTTCTACTACATACGGTTATATCATAATTCATTTAACTGTTAAGTTTACGAAACTCTTACTTTTCAATGTAAGAATTCGACTTAGGGCCATGGGGTTTAAGTGAACAGGTAATTAAAGATTTAAGTTGACCTGGTAGATAGTAGCTGTGACCCCAAAGCTGGTGCTTTCCTCGCTTACCGAATAAGTATCGCAATACAGCGATTTACTGGTATTAAAGGTACACAGGTATCAATTTAAAAACAAATATTTTAGTTCTCTACTTAACCATCATTTAATATTATTATTACTATATAGATTAAGAATATAATCAATTCTCTCTAAATTTATATTTTCTTAGATAAGTCGTCTGTTCCTAAAGGCCAACTCATTTTACCAGAAACCACGACAACTTGTAAAAGTCCTTACATTACCTTTAATACTAGCTCACTCATAATTTTTAACATACAGCCTTGTTGGTCACGGCTGTTTTAAGCCGCTGTAATTATATTACATATTGTAATTTAGTTAATGTTGCTACCTTTTTGGAGAGTTAGATACAAATAAACGCCGCGTATGCGATACAGAAGAAAACGGCAAATAACTACATACTAATATCGGACTGTCACCATGCACTGGAACCTGACAGATACGCTGCAGTGGATATAAAGACACTGTGGATCGACAATGATGCTCCCGACGAGCTGGCAAAGAGAAGATCCAGAATGATACCTGCTGGCAGGTCTCCGCTCCTTTCCTTGCCCTTCTCGTAAGTGCCAACCTGGATTCGCTAAAGAGCCACAGAACTCCAACATTTGGTCGCAAAACGCGTTCTGCTGAGAATCCAAAATGTCACTGCCAGAAGTAAACCCGCTAGTGACAAAGCGACTTCTAAGCCTCAACAAAATCTCAAAATAGTAATAGGGACAATTATGGGCCACTGTCTCCTTATACTCCGAGAGCTGGCACCAATTTTTGGGTAGGTATTTGAGGCAAGCTGAAAAGTTGTCACATACCTCTCCTATTATATTCCAACACGGAATTGCAGACCTGGCTGGTGAGTAGCGGGGCTAAATCAACCCCTACATTTTTTAAAATATTAAATTTTTTTTCCCCAAAAATATATTTGAGGCAATACGCATTTTATATATACTTAATAAATACGAAAAAAAATAAGCCAGACAATTTAATCGAGGTTGTAACATTACCAGACGCGTGCAAAAATTTTTTGCAAACAATTATAAAAAATGTTTTTGAGGCAGCTTGAAATTTTAATGGAGTGTTATTTATAACTATAAAATAAGATTCCCAAAAAGACATAATTTCGGTAGGGTTTTCTACCTGCCAGGTGATCAAACAAATAATGGATGGGTACGGGCCTGTACTACTATAGACAAGCTGTAGTGTGAGAGAGAGCGCATAAACATCTCTTTGTACTTGGCATGACAGATACTCTCTTGCGCAGAGCCTGTTTCAGCGCAGAGGAATCAGTCACCCACGTAGTTCTGGTGTGGCAGTAGCTTTCCAACAAACAGAAATCCTCGGAGCAGTAAGGTCGCTCCATGAAGTCTGCGAAGTGCTCAGGAAACTTCTAAACTTCTGGAAGGAGCTAGGCTGGCTTAATCAGCCAGGACTTTACGAACAACGGATCAAATGGTGCGAAGTGCGAAAATTGAGTCTACACCTCATACATACCTCAAATAATAATTTATGCTAAAATATTTGTAGCATGTTTTTCTCTATAGAAAATAGATACTTCTCGACATTAGCCACTGGGGCTTTCTTGCCAGTCAGTGATTCGACGGTCAAGGATTTTAGCTTGGAGGTAAAGTATATCATCATTCCTCGACAGTCTTCATTAATTCGACTTCCAATTCCCGGTCTCTGACTTCCAATCTACTAACCTAACATGACAAAGTTATTAAATCTGTCTATAAATATTTGAATTGAGAACATCGCTTTATGAAGCTTTAAAAGAAAAATCATATCATATCTAGAATATGTAAAGATTGTAATTCAGTTAAAAATTAAAATCTTCTTTTTTTCCTTTAAAGTCTTCATTACTGAAGTTCGTGGCTGTCTGGAAAATCCTTAACCGATACGTGGACTTTCTGCTTCCATAGGGCTGCAGGGGCCTCAGATGTTGAGACCCATTGTCTTAATTTGGCCAGACCAACGGGTAGGCGATCGATCCTGACTACTCCTGCCATCTCTTTTCCCTACCAGCGAGACTACGTAGCGTGGCCAACGTAGCTAAGCACCCGTTTGTATCATAAAAATTGACCGTTGTGGTGATCTTTAGTGGATTGAGAAGGGACTTATTGGTTCTTTTTGCAGTCCATGGTATTCGCAATTCTCCTCCAACTCCACATCTAGAATGACTCTATATTTTTTTCAATTTCTTCATTGAAATAACCAGGACTTTCATCGGTACAAACATATGGAAAATACCAAACTTCTGCTGAGCCTTCTCTTGGTAGTATTTAGCTAAAACGATAAATACTATATGCAAATAAAGGTAGCTAGCCTTGACGAATGCTTCGTGATGCGAATTTCAAAGGATTGGAAATTAAACTAATAAATTAATTTTGAAAACATTTAATGGAATGATTACATCTAAATAAACATTTTTCACATTCTGTATTAAATTATCGTATAATTGAAACCACACAAAAATTATTAATGAACTAATTACTAATATCTCATATTTTAATTACTTTACTCAGTTAATTATTAACTGAGTTATTAGTAATTAAGACATTGGTTATTTATGGTGTTTATATAACACACATTAAATATTGTTTTATAATGATTACATGTTATAATATTTTAATAATTTTGTAAATTTAACTAATTTTTGTAAATAATTTGCATACGTGATAAATAGGTTTATATGAAAAACGCCATACAACTACGAATGTTCACTAGTTATAGGAATTGACGTATAAATAGAGTTATAATTGTTAATAGTAATTATTATGAAAATCTACTAACATTCCTCTTTTGAACTCCACACACAATATTTTGGCACATTACAGTAATAAGGTCGAAAAATAACTATAGGGGCGTTTTAGGCTAACAGCTACAGTATAATTTTAAGAGATTTTTGTAAATACTTCAAAGATTGGTCTCACACAGAACACAACTTCATTTTTACTTATGATAAATGCATTAACTAAAATCAACTTAACTATTAAAGCTAAACCAAAACTCTTACTTAACGATATGTAATTCTTAATAAAAATATACAAATAACTCATACACAATCTAAAATGTTACAAACTCTTTGGTAATGCTATGGAAATATTCTGTTAAGAAATAGACACCGATACACGATTACACATTCTTATAATAAACCCTTATTAATAAAAACTAAAACAACTGTTTTAACTAAATCACTTCTGAGACATTAAAACAGTTGAAATAGTTTCTATAAATAAGAGGGTTTTTAAAACCACTTTTAAAAATCGAAATATGCTACTAATAAAATTGATTACGCGTTCTACAACTACAAGCTACACATAAAAAAAACACTTAAAGCATCCTAAATGGAAGACAATAACTATAATATATAGATTAACTATTTGAAACCCGTTTTAACTAACTTACTTGTAAATATAGTAGAACATGAACGCGTCGCGACGCTCCCAAAACGTAATAATTACATAATTGACTAATAAGTAAAATATGTAAATAATGGTTACACGTTAATATGGCACGTTTAATTATTGTGCGTTTGTATCGTTTATCAAATTTTATTTAGGCTTTGCCGTGCTTGGCTAGCTCCTCAGCCTGCATCTTGGTCCGTAAGGCCGGTACGTCTTCGGGGATTCGAACGATCGTGTGGAATTTCTATAAAAAAATTACTTTATTAAGTATTTTTCTTAATTAATAACTTATAAAGGGGCAGAACTTTTATTGCGTCAGATTCACTATTCATTTGTAATTGTCGACTGTGAGTAACACACGTTGAAATTACTATTAAATGATATAAGTATTTTTCTTCATTATATAACTTACAAAGGGGCAGACATTTTTTTGCGTCAGATTCGTAACGTCGCAAATGTTTGGGTCTAAAATAGGTTGGTAACACCATATTTTTCCTTACAAAGATTATATTCCTCTGTAGATATTAAAATCCTTTAGTGCACGCCCAGGTATGGTAGTCTTTGATACGTCATACGACCTCAGAGTACAGAACCACGCACTCACCAATTAAAGTTCGATCTATGTAAATTTTAAATACTTGCTCACGCGGTGAGGAAAACCATAGTAAGAAACAACACGTCTTAACCCAGAAATTACGAAAAAGATTTTTACAATTGTTTTCATGGCTTAGCACTTAGAATAATTGAAATTAAACCTACCTCCATTGGTGTCCCTGGAGTCACACGCCAGAGATAAATCATGTACCCAGGGATGCACAGCATAGACGATAGAGCAGTGAACCAACCGAAGGCATGAGACCACCAGGGATACTCATAGTTCATGTACTTAATCGGAGTCCATTGTACCAAGTTGAATATAAACACGCTCTGTAAAAAGAAAAAAAAATATTTCCATAATGCCAACTCGTTATTATCTATAAATTAATTTGTTATCGTACACGGGACGCTTTAGTTCGTGTGGAAATGGGAAAGTATAGTTTATATATTGTAAAATTACAAAAACACTACATAACAATAGCAGACGGGTGACTTTATCGCTTTAGTCCTTTTGGGAAACCAAGATATAGAAGTCAAAATGTATTAAACATAATTGGTTCCCGTGGCATGCTATTTCTTCTAATTCTGTGATATTAAAATAACCACTTACAATACATATAGCAGGTGTAAATCCGACCCAGCAGAACTTCCACCAGATAGTTGGGTAGTAGCCAATCATCTCTTTAATGCCATCGTAGAACCGGTTCACTCCAAACGCCCAGGAGATCGACACGCACTCGAAAAAGATCAGGAACAACAAGCAGAAGCCAGATACAGCGTAGGAGTCCAGAATTTGGAAGACATACATACCACCCTGTCATTTTATAAGGGTATTAAATATACAGTTTCGTAAGCGTTTTATCTTTAGAAGAGTGATATTGATAAAAGATTGTGTGAGCTTGGACCTAAACAAAAGAGCAATTCGAAAATGGTCTCGACGTTTTTCATTAAATGTTTTAAACACTTACTTCTACTAAATTTCTTCCGAAAACCTATCATTTTAATTTCATAAGTGAACAATTTAATTTTTAATAATAAAAATTATGTATATATACATTCATAAGAATTTTAGAAAGGCTAAGGCACAAAAAAGGTTTCAAAACACTGATCTAAACGTTTCATAGTATAATTACAGAGGTCAGAAGGGAGACAAAAGCCAGCTCATGGCACGTAGGAGCTTAACTTATAATAGAGCTTTAAGCTTGTTGATAAAGCATCAATAAATAAAACATACAAATACAGTTTTTTAATAGTAAATAAGAATTACTTTTTGAAGATAGTATATTCATAGTCAATTTATTTGACCTGGTAATGGCAATGCCAATGGCAGGTTCTAAGAACGTTCTCTTACCTCAGAAATACAAGACAGCCCAACCAAATATGATATGACACACGTAATAGCTATGAATATTTCCTTCCTCCTTCTGAGTAGTTTCGGCCATTCGTCGATCACAGCTGTGATGAAGCCTTCCATGGTGCAGAACTGACTGTCCAGACCGATGAGGAGCAGCATAAAGAAGAACAGGCACGACCACAATGGTGCTCCGGGAAGTTGGAGTACGGCTGATGGATATGCTAAGAAAGCTAATCCAGGTCCTGTTAGAGAAATAATTATTTATTTATTTATTTATAAAAGCTTGGCAACGCTCGGCACACTGATACATTGATAAAAGAAATATAAAATAAAATTGTTAATGTGACAAGCACTTATAGGCAAACATAGCATTGCAAGAAATTAAGCAAAACAATAATATAATTTATATAAAAATTGAACGAAAATCGATCTTAAAGTGTGAGGGGAGCAACTATGGATATCCAAACCCAGCTCGTTTAACAGAATGCCCAATCTGGACATCGGTGAGCTTTGGCCAAAACGCGTTCTCCGGAAAGGAGGAAAAAATGTAATGATGGGATGTCTGGGATATCTACTGGGTACACGAAATTCAAATTTTGTTAAAAGGTTGGAGCAATCCACCTGATTGTTAAGTATCTTAATTGCGATAATTAAGGTTAATTAAGATTTAATTCTTATTATTACTTAGGAAACCTTTCTAATGAATCTACTCAAAACGTTGTTCTACTTATTATTACTATGAAATTAAAATTAGGCAAAAAAGCCCCAGACGCCAGAGCTCCATAGGAAATAAATATCATAAGAAACGCAGGTAAAATGCATGTTATAGTACCTGACGCAGCCACTTCAGCTACCGGTCTCTGCTGTTCATGAGCCATGAATCCAACTACAGAGAAGATCACGAAACCAGCGAACATCGATGTACTGGAGTTCACCGTACAGACTATCAGGGCATCTCTGAAAATTAAGCAATTGTCAAAGTATATACGATATATAATTTAAGACTTTAACATTAATTAATTAATCTAAAGTTAGAAGGGCTGATAAAAAATACAAGACTATTTGTATCTTTCATAAAATGTTTGATTTTCTGTTCAAGAAACCATTAAAGAGTAATCCCCCACTTATTTGTTAATAATACATTTGTCTAATTGCTCTATTGCTATAGTTAAAAGTCTTCATCACAGCGAAAACACAATAAGATGAAAAAATACCATAAATCATGCATAAAACGATGCAATAAACTAAATTTAGTTTTTATGAATAAACGGGATAAAGTCGAAAGAGAGGCAAGGGTATAGCCAAAAGAGTGATGAGACAAAGCGATTAATGGCGATTATTAGGCGAAAACTGTATCTTGACGAAAAAGGAATACATACAATTGTGTGTAGTTTTTATTATTTCTACTGTTCTTTAAACTAAATGTGGACTAAAGAGTCTATTTAAAAATTTAGTATATATAAACATTGGCCGTTCACCAACCAGATTGACCGATCAAGTGAAAGACTCATCGTCCTCAAAACTGTACTCTGTCATAAGAGAAGCGCTGGACAGAAACCGGTGGAAACTGATAGTCCGCTCCAGATGGTTCGTTGCTGACCAAGACGCTCAGACTATGAGCTGCTGATTAAAGAAAGAGAGTATTGACTTAATACTATTTTACTTACTTATAAACGTTGTTAGTAAACTTGTTGTAACTTCCGAGCGCTACTAGAGTTCCCAGACCCAAACCATACGAGAAAAAGATTTGAGTGACCGCGTCGATCCATACTTCCGACTCGAATAACTTTGACATGTTCGGCATTATGTAGAACTTTATTCCCTCCATTGCACCGGGTAGAGTTATTCCTGTGAAAGCGTTAAAAATTTAAAATACCAAGCGCCTTTTAAAATTATAGGTTTACCAAAATCTAGATTTTTAATCCGCCCAAAAATATTTATTTATCTATTTCGTAACAACACTGTTAATTTTTACTATTATTATTTTTTCTACAATTATTATTATTTTTGCATCTTGAGTCGCTAACTAGCTGTTGTCTCTAGAAGAATGACCAGTGCTGTGGAACACGTCTGCTCCTCAGCATAATGCTGAGCCAGGGCCAGTTACAACCACAACACACACACATTACACACTTAAAATGTACCCTTTTCTTAAAAAAAAAACTATTGTTACTTTTCTTTCCTTTTTTTTAATATTATTATTTTGTGTGTTGTCTGTGTAAATGTTAAGTCTATGTCTATATGCCACCGGTGCTCGCTAGCTATCAAAACCGCTAGCAAATTGCTACCATATCACAGACCAAATTAATAATGATGAAATTATATAACTCCACAAGTTTGCCACGAGCATAAAAAATAACGCATGTTAATAAGGTTCTAGAAAACTCTACATCGACCTTTCAACCTTTGCCAATACCGTAATATAAATAAAACCACATAAGGAAGTCGTACCTCTAATAAGCAATACAGTTAGCAAGAAGTACGGGAAAAGTGCTGTGAAGTAGACGACTTTTCCAGTCCAGCGCACTCCCTTCCAGATGCAGAAGTAGCACAGGATCCAGACCAGAAGAAGTGTACCAGCCAGCTCCCAACGGATGTTACCAATGTGTTCTATACCGCTCGAGATTTGTAGAGCTCGCCGTCTATAAATTAAATTATTATGTAGAAATTTCTATTAAACTGTTATAAATATATTTTTAAGACACAAATTGCTCAAATTAGGCTCAAATTTGATGATGAATCATCAATTAAACAAACAGAAACCCACAGCCGTGAAGGATCCCGTGGTATATAGGCAATTTTTAAATGATTTAAATAACTTTTACGGTCATTACGATACACAGAATAATGATGTGGAATAAATAAATAAAATATTTTTTTTATCAAGTCTTTCGATATTAGCTGAATACCAGATATTAACTTTTTCAATTGTTTTATAATGATCTTTTTAAACGAAAGGAACGAAAACATTTGTTTTTCCTTAGATTTAACGTTTTGTAAAAAAAAACACGTAGGGGAAGATCGTTACCCTTCGTACGCGGGGCACATTCATACAGTCAAAATAAAACTTGAACGAAATAAAGTACAGTCTTGCTTTTGTATGTGTGCATGAGTCGAGGTACCAACTATACATCAACGAAGTTTCGTGAAATTCGCACCGATGAGAGTGAAGTTACAGGCATAGACGTATTTTCGCGCTCGGTAAGTAATTTTTTGATCTATGTTTTTATCTCTTGTTACCGTAGATAAAATAAGTTTTCGTGTAGAGTATTCTATCAGTAACTAGCAAAATATACTTAAGATACGTCTCCAATACTTAATTTATGACGTTTTCCTATTAATATTAAAATAAGTTATATTTTGTTGTTATTCAGTTAGTGGGGTACATTCGGACAGCACTAGATGGGGCACATTTGTACGAATTGTACAACTAAATTTGTATAATAATTTGTCGACGCGAACTGTCTTTTTCATACAAATTAAGTTTTCGACTTTCTACATATTACACTACTGTTAAGGCATCTTGACTAAGGTTGATTTTGATGCTTGTGAACCAGATGCTGTGAATAATTTACCAATCCATCAAATAGTAGTTCCTTCGAAGTCAGTTTTGACACCACAGGCATTTCGACCCTATTCGCATTCTGTAAGAAGTAATAAAACAAGCAAAATGACGATGACGGCCAGGAAAACCACGAATTTATACTGCCACACCCGAAAATAAGAAGTTGTAATCCACACCAAAGAGTAAAAAATGTAATTCTAAATTTAAGATACCTAACTAATTAAATTTTGTTTTACATAAGAAAAGTATTTTATTTTTGTTTAATAGAAATTAAATCTTTATTTTTGTGTTTAATTTCATTGCTAATAAATGAATTTTGAACTACCCCACAGCGTAAGAAGGTACCCCAAACACTGTACGAAGGTGCCCCGTTGATGGGGCAGATTCGTACGTTTTCCAGATTTAGTTTAAATCATAATTATGGTTGAAACATCGGATGAAATCATTTGTCATTTTTTATTTGAATCTCAGATAGTTAGACTATAAATTTAAGCTATCAGGTGATTGATTCATGGAAAAATAAAAAAATTAAAAATAAAATGTGAAAACCGTACGAAGGGTCCCCACCTTCCCCTACAATGTATATTGATTGACAATTCGCAAGAGAATATCATATGCGTATTGACTCAAGCTAGCTCTCAAATTTTTTGCTCTTTCCCCTTTGAAAGTTTGCTCTTTTCAAGGGTTACACTGCTTACAATTTCTTAGGAAAGTCTTAATATGGGAATGGCGAAGAGTTATTGAGTGGTTTTTGGATAGCACTATTAATAAATCTATATTCTGTTATTCTTACAGAGCAACTGGTTAATTAAATTAATTGATTTGATAGTAATTTGACATTTAGCTAATATAAGTAATGTATATAAGAAGTATCTGATACATAAAACGGCAGTTCCAACCGAATAAAAATTAAATAACTATGAAACATACTCCCAGAATTCCTTGACAGGATCAGAAAGGAGGGCCTTGCTGACATTCTTTCCGTTCAGGGTACAATACGTGGTCATGTCCATTGATGACCAGCAAGTTAAGTTCTTACGGTCGTATGGATTGACGCAGGTGTCGGTGTTCCAGTAATTGTCACAATCACGCCAGGGCACGTCTGGAAAAAAATTTGGTAAACATCACTTATATTATATAGGTGTTCTGATGTTAACAGCCTCCATGGTTTGGTATTGAAGGAACATGGTGGACCTGAAGGTTTAACCTTTAAAGCAAACAGATGCGGAAATCTTGTGCCATTAGATAACGTGATGCGATCAGATATAACGATTAAATAATTATACAATCTGATCTGTAGTTTATGTCGTTGCCGTGATAAATTGTTAGATCGTTCAGATCTTAATAGACTACAAGCCCATGGAATAAAATAACCTGTGAAATGAACCAATAAATTTATGTTGTTTATATTTTATTTCAACATTAACTTTACAAGAACTACTTACCAGATCGCATAGACATGAAGAAGTAGAAGATGGCCCATGCCAAAATCACGATGTAGTAAACGTTCATCCAACACGACATGACAGCCGCGGCGTATCCAATTCCTGTAAATTGTCCATAATAAATTAGCGACTAAATTTCATGCCGTCAAGAGGGAATACGAAATTCCATTATTATCACGAGCTCTTTTTAAGACACTTGTCGCGAATCACCCTTTATAGTGACCTTAAAGGCACTTGCAAGCCTCGTGGTGTTGTAAGTGCTCTTAGTGCTTGTTTGTCCTCTGTTAGAAGCATTGGGTTATCACCCTGAGTCAAGTTTATGTTTAGGTACTTTGTTTACTCGATCATACTGTAATACACATCCTATAGACTTCCTCTAATAATCTTCTATGTTTCATTTCGAATTCGTTCCTGACATTGGCTCCATATAGTTTTCTCATTGAAGGTTCAACAAAAAACAATATGATGTGATTAAGACAATCTCAATGACGAACGAATTACTATCAATCCACACGCTAAGCTTTATTAAACATTACTTATTAATTATTTATTTATTCATTTTATGTAAAAAAAGTTATCATAACATGTCACCCTAATGCAACAATTATTGAACTAAAATTATTAAAAGTTTTATTTTGAATTCGTTTATATTCGAAAACTTAATACACATAAACGCTACGATATTTTTCTTCGACAATGATTTTCCTGAAAGCATTGTCACAAACATGACAAAGGTATAATCATCCCCGTTAAGGCTTTGAAGAAATTGTAGCTCGTAGGAAATTATTTTGAGAATTCGTATATCTATAAAAGTTTACATTTTAAATATACATTACCATATTTTTATGATTCAGAAAAGATTTTGTATTTAATTTAATCCATGTCTAAAATCATTATTCATTTTAGAATAAATAATAACATAACGTATAAATTAACAATGGAAGATGTCAAAAACAAAATCAAGACACATTAAAGAAAATATTAACGAATCTTTTTGTAGTAAAGTGGCTTTATTATTATTATTAATCTTATTGTAGTACTAACGACATCTCACTGTAGTCTTTTACGTAATTTACTTATTTAGATTATATCTCTACGGTTCCTGGGTCATCCTGGGCCTTAAATAATAGAGGATTTTATTTTTACTCTATTAAACACTCGCGTACAACAATAGAATATAAGCGAAATAATGAAATGTTAATTTCTATGTAACGAATTAATGCAATGTAACAGTTGAAGAGAGTGCCTACGTCTGGCTGTACTCTCGACTCTCGAGGCGTAACTCCGACGATTTAGGAAATCGCCACGCTTATAAAACTAAGAAAGTCTGTCAGCAAAATGTACAGCCTTGGCTCGTATAATATCCATATGCAGTTTTAGCTAGAGTTAGTAACTTTTAAAATTTGGTCTTAGTTGCATTATTAGTTAGTAACAGTGGGGAATGGACAGCATACCAAAGTTTTAATATATTCTTTCTTTGTGCTCAACATTGCTGCAGCAACATTATATAATATGATGACTGGATTCATCTACAGTGGTTCAATAACTATACTGTTTATATTAGCAGCCAAAGAAACCGGCGACAGTTGAAGCAGTATTATATACTACTAGCTGATCCGGCAAACGTTGTTTTGCCATGTATATTATTTCTATGGAACATTTTTTTAGTTCAATGAAAGTAACTATCTACTATAAAAAAAATAGGGGTTGATCGCAGAGGGGTGAAAATTTAGGGTTGTATGTATTTTTTAATGGCACATTATAAAATACTTAAAAATTAAAATTTCGTCCAAAAATAAAATTAAGTTAGGGGTGGACAACTCACTTAGGGGTATGAAAAATAGATAGTAGCCGATTCTCAGACCTACCGAATATGCATATATACAATTTGATAAAAATCGGTCGAGCCGTTTCGGAGGAGTATGGTAACTAACATTGTGACACGAGAATTTTATATATAAGATTAACTCCATATTTCAATTACAGTTCTAGAAGCCAGTCCAAGTTCTATTATTCTTATGACCCAATTAAAATCTGTTTTAATTTAATTTGGTTCAAAATTTAATTTGCTGGAAACTCATTAAAATGTGTACTTTTATTTTCAACTCGAATAAATTGATATTTGTAGTAATTAAAATATTGCAAACACTGTTTCATGTAGTGGACTAACAAAAGTGCTTTATTAAAAATTTCGAACTGATTCTTACCTAAACGGATTTATGGTGTTATAATATGACTTATGTTTCATTATTTAATTATTATTTTTATATTTAGATTGTAATTAAATTTTTACATTTCTACACCGTTAATCTAACTGGGAAGTTACAGGATCCAGTAATACAAGTATACCAGGGACCAGTGTTTTAATGTTGTGTAGATTATGGCAATAAATTATAATAATTATTATTACAAAATTACAATGCAATGACAGGAATTATATTGTTTTAAAATGGTCAGTATCGGAATTGATAAAAATCACGTCAGAACATACATAAGGCATACGTCACCTTTACACGAATACGTGAAAGAGGCTTTCAGCCATTGTTTTATGTGCTCGACAAAACTTCAAAATTAAAGTTAAGATTTCGTTCAGTCAAGAGGCTCATTATGCTTTGTTAAAATTCATGATGTTTTAATGTCTCATGAAAGTTATTTCTCTCATTATATTTGATGTCTTATTAAAAATGACACTGTAGTTGTATCTTCATTAAATGCATAATAACTATAACAATTCGACTTCGAAGACATTTTGTCACGACATTCACACATTCTATCACGACGAAACACTACGACGCTTAAATTGTGTATCGTGGATTATAAGACATAATAATTAAACAACAGTTTAAAATAACGTTGACCACGGACCTAGTGAGAAGATTGAAAAGCACAAAACTTTAGTGCTAAATAATTGTAAGTGGAATAAATAATGTCTTCTAATAGAACCGGTAAATGCTATTGGACGCTTTCTTATGTTAAATAGAAGTTGGTAATTAAGGCCTAAACAAAGCTACAGAAAGTGTTAATTCTTTATCTAATATATATTTTTATGCATTTTCAGTAAGTCTGGGACTCAGCTACTATCTATATTTCAAACCCCTAAGTGATAAGGGGTGTCCACCCCTAATTAAAAATAAAAATAAATTTAGTTTTTTTTTTGTTTTAATTTTTTTATGATACAGCATACAAAATTACATACAACCCCTGTTTTCACCCCTCTATGATCAACCCGTATTTTTTTATTATTGTAGATAGTTATTTTCATTGAACTAAAAAAAAATGTTTCCTCGAAATAATATACATGGCAAAACAAACGTTTGCCGGGTCAGCTAGTATTCTATATATTTTACCATTACAATATTTTATGACCTATTTAATATTTTATCGACTGACTGACAGTTTAATCTACAAAAGTACACTATAGATATATATTTAACAAAATGTCATATAATAATAATGTATTCTTAAATAAATTACCTTTAAAAATCGGCGCAATCTTGAACACTCCCAGACCGCCGATCGTAAGCATTTGTCCCATGGCCAACTCCATGAAGAACATGGGGATACCAGCCAGGAACAATGTGAGGAAGTAGGGTATGAGGAAAGCGCCTCCTCCATTCTTGTAGCAGAGGTATGGGAACCGCCACACATTGCCCAAACCGATGGCCAATCCCACCACAGATAGAATAAAATCTAACTTGCTACCCCATGAGCCTCTCTCCGGCAATGTTGATTTCTTTGGTGCGTCGCTAAAAAAAGATTTAAATCAGCTCCATTGTCATATTTTACGTAAACGTATATTTAGTTGTTAGATAATTGCATATCCATAGTTGCTCCCCTTACACGGTGAAATCAATTTTCCTTAAGGTTTTATAATTTATGAAACAATGTATTTTTTCCTTAGTGTTTCTTATGTTTGCCTATATAAGTACTTGACACTATAGTTTGTATTTTATTTTTCTTATATAAATTATACGAGTGCGCCGAGCGTTGGCAAGCTTTTGTAAATAAATAATTAATAAAAAATACTTGAAAAGTGTCTTAATGTTGGTATTATATGTGGGCGCAAATTCATATATAATGATTATATTGTTACAAAAATATAACGATTGATATATAATTTAAGTAAATAAATATGTATGGGCGCATATATAATGATTATATTGTTGCAAAATATATTGATATATAATTTAAGTAAATAAATATATATGGGCGCATATATAATGATTATATTGTTACATAAATATAAAGATTGATATTTAATTCAAGTAAATAAATATATCTAAGATAATAATAAATAATATTAAGGATTGATAGTCTGTGGTTAATTCATAGCATTTATAATTTATGTTTAAGGAATGGTGTTGATCAGCTGCTATTGTCATTCATCGTCAATTGGTAATATCGGGATCAAATTAGTTCAAAACCGTTACATGGTTTATTTTATTTACCAATATTAATGGATCTGCAAATTAATGACTATTTGATAGTCTGTAGTCTTTATTATTTATATTGAAGAAATTGTGTTAGTGTCAGCTGTCATTGTCATTTAAATAATGTCAAAGTCAAAATGGTTCGAGGCCGTTAATACGAATGGTTTATTTAATTTGTCAATGTTGCTAGATCTATAAATTAACGACTGTTCAATGGTCGATAATAATAATGACTCCATAGTCATTATTATTATTATTATCAAAAGTAATTTATCACTTTAAACATTTAAAACTTATTGATAATAAATATTAAAGTAATCTTTGACACTCGTTTCTATGACTGCCGTTTGACTCTGTGGTCGATTCGGGTTTTGTCGTGGAACGAGTACACGAAATGTTACGAAACTTGTTTATCACAAATTCTGGTTGCTATATATATGGGAACTGGTTGGTGCGGTGTTTAGTTCGGTTGAGCGGCCGAACCAATCAGAAGCCTTTAAAAGTGGACTTTAATGTCGAAAGTAAATGGCTGGTGCCAACAAACTAATTTATGACGACAGTATTGCTGACGTCATTATCTTCAACAATTCATCGTGGAGTCTGGACAATATAATTACGGCGTTCAACGCCGACAGCAGCGGTGGGATAACAGCCCCAAAAGACTTCTGAATTTTTGAATGGCACAATCTTCACTTTGGAACAGGGATTGGTGCGCCAACGTGGACGAAAATATCACGAAGTTGATGGTACCTCCACATGAAGCTCGAATAAAGGCCATGCTGTAGTTACGAGTTAAAACATGAGCCGACAGCTGGTTGTTGCATTCAACCAAGTGAGAACAAGTGAAGGAGGAGCTTATCCATACTTTTGGCAACGTGTTTCGGTATGTGAATGACGTGCAGAAATGGTGCAACTACAAGCGAGCTGCTACGCAGAGTACGCTACAGCGGTATTCAAAGGATCCGACCAGAAGCTACCGACGCCGAGGTAATGGATGCGATGATCACAGGTATTTACTCTTGAGTTTAGTCGATCTGAGTTGCTGAGTATTACCCTCGATTCACTTACTAAATTAGTATTAGTTTTTGAAACGTTTTGTAAACGTAAAATCGAAAATAGTTCACGTGAGTTACGTGTTATGGTATCTTAAAGGATCAAGTCGTTTGTTTCACTTGCAATGAACCGTCATTTGTCTCGGTACTGCATAGAGAGAAATCCCTCTATGCCTAAATTTATTTCGTCACTATTCAGTAAGAATAATTCCAGTTTTTGTGGCACTTTTAATAATGCTAAGGTTATTGAATGATTACTGGCATCGTAAGAATCACTTCGAGAAAAATTGCTACCGCCGTCAAAATGACGAACGTGAAGCCCTAAATAAATGTAATAACTATTGTTCATCTGTTGAGGGTAGTACGGAAACTGTTATTATTGGTAACAAACATTATTACTATCTTTTTATACTGGTGCAGATCGTTTCTTAATTCGAGAAAGCATTGCTGGTTTTAATTGTTAATGCTTGGTAAACGTAAACAAGTTGACGTACAGTTTGTGGGCATTGAGGGTCAAAAATTTATCTCAAAGCAAAGCATTACAGCTATGGTAGAAATCGATAGTGTCATTTTAGAGCTAGCGTTTTATGTAGTAGGTGACAACTAAATTCAATTTGATATTTTAATACGGTTTAATCTTCTTTAAAAGAAAAAAATACCCGGCCTTAGCGTTACTTTCAGCGAAAACGATATGTCTATTAATCGTTAGTTTATTGAGTGTTCAAATTTGACGCCCCCTATTAAAATAAATACCGATTAATGAAATCTACAATATCATCAATGAGTCCAAAGATAATTTTACTTCTGTCAAATCATGTTGTACGGGTAATAACCGGTGAGCTAAAAATTAGATTTAACAGAATCCCGATAAAATTGTACAGGGGAAATGTGGAAATTATTCGAGATTTAGAGGAATATGGCATATTAAGAGATAGCTCTTCCCCATTCAGAGCTCAATTTTATTAGTCGAGAAAAAGAACGGGATGGACCGACATTGCGTTTATTTTCGCGTATTAAATTCAAATACGGTTAGAGATAATTATCCTTAACCTTTAATTGCACACCAAATTAATAGATTAGGCAAAGCCCGTTATTACAGCTGCCTAGATATGGCATCTAGCTTTCACGGAATTCCTATATTTATTTATAACATTTTATAAAAAAATTACAGTATTTTAAAGAAAAATTAAAGTTGTTAATAAATTATGCTTACAATAAAAAATAAAAAAATTATCTACCTATAGATATTCCATAAATATCTTAGGGAGACAGGAAGAATAAAATTAAAATTAATTACTATGAATTTATAAAAACTACGAAACAGTTAAAACATTTCAATTAGGTATGAAAAAGCAGATTTAAATTTATAACTATTCTAACGGAAATAGCCGGTGTGTGTGAGTGTGTGTCACACAGTCATTTTATGAACAGAAAAGATCGATGTCAAACTGGGTTGAATATTGGTTGTAGGTCTGTACATTTCGAATCATGAATGTACTTATCAGAAGACTGTATTGAAAAACTGCTTTCGTGACACCAGATAGACAGTTTGAATATTTAGACATGCTTTTCGGTCAATTTATGTATTTTTTGATTTTCCTCATCGCGAAAAGCGATGAGAGCATTTTATAATGGTCATGATAAACATTCCATATGTTACAGATATGGCGAAGTAAGATTCAAATCAAAGTTGTCAATATAAATTTGTACCATCCAATATTTTTAGACGTTTACTGTTCACACATAAAATTGAATTTGATTAGTCATAATAGTGTTATGACAAATATAAATTTTGTATTAATACTCAATACGAAATGCTTTCTCTTCAGCTCAGTTACATTCTAAACATCAAAAAAGGGTGATGTTTGTCTACCGTACGTAGCGATTTCTTTCTTTCCACTTTTCGGTCTTATTCTATTTTGTTGGGTATTACTCATCACTAAAAACCTAAGCGAGCATTTTATATCGATCATCATAATGAAGGATCGATGGGTGAGATTTAAATCACAGTTGTAAATATAAGTTTAAAATTGAACCTTCTAATATTTTTTGACGTTTATTTGTTGAACATCAGGAATGTAATTTGATTTAAACCCCTAAAGCCGTAACAGTGTGACGACAAATATCATGGTTTTTGTGATACCATTTTACCGTAGGTTTTAATTTTTATTTATTTTTTTTAAAGAGAGATCGGTTTCCCGTATATTCTTATATTCTGTCATTTATACAGCTTATAAGAAGAACTGTTTCATAATCCTTAACCTAGTTGTCAGCAGGCCGAGGCGGTTTTGTTGTCGTTGGATGAATAACCAATTGAGGCAATTGTTTGAACGTCATGGTAAGTTACCAGTTCAGTCGAATGGACCGTATGGGCGGAAGATTCGTCAGAGCGATTTACGTGAGTAGGCTTCTACTTCCTGCTAACCTGACGTTGTTGGACCTAGGTAATTGCATTATATTTATATAACTTTCATGACGAAAGATGATGTTTATTTTATGTATGCGCATTGATGCGTTTATACAAAATATTATATTTTTCCTATCCAAAACATCCTTCCTAAAACGCTGGCTGGCCACCATGCGTATCCTTGATCCTGGTCTGGTTGGCTAGATCTCGTAATGAGTGATGCCTTATGTGTTGGCTAGATCTCGTAATGAGTGATGCCTTATGTGTTGGCTAGATCTCGTAATGAGTGATGCCTTATGTGTTGGCTAGATCTCGTAATGAGTGATGCCTTATGTGTTGGCTAGATCTCGAAATGAGTGATGCCTTATGTGTTGGCTAGATCTCGTAATGAGTGATGCCTTATGACTTATGTGTTGGCTAGATCTCGTAATGAGTGATGCCTTACGTGTTGGCTAGATCTTGTAATGAGTGATGCCTTGTTTAAAGTTGTAGCAATCTAAAACAGCGCAAGGGACGCGCTGGAGTCAGTATGGCCGTGTGGGCGCAAATTCATATATAATGATTATATTGTTACAAAAATATAACGATTGATATATAATTTAAGTAAATAAATATGTATGGGCGCATATATAATGATTATATTGTTGCAAAATATATTGATATATAATTTAAGTAAATAAATATATATGGGCGCATATATAATGATTATATTGTTACATAAATATAAAGATTGATATTTAATTCAAGTAAATAAATATATCTAAGATAATAATAAATAATATTAAGGATTGATAGTCTGTGGTTAATTCATAGCATTTATAATTTATGTTTAAGGAATGGTGTTGATCAGCTGCTATTGTCATTCATCGTCAATTGGTAATATCGGGATCAAATTAGTTCAAAACCGTTACATGGTTTATTTTATTTACCAATATTAATGGATCTGCAAATTAATGACTATTTGATAGTCTGTAGTCTTTATTATTTATATTGAAGAAATTGTGTTAGTGTCAGCTGTCATTGTCATTTAAATAATGTCAAAGTCAAAATGGTTCGAGGCCGTTAATACGAATGGTTTATTTAATTTGTCAATGTTGCTAGATCTATAAATTAACGACTGTTCAATGGTCGATAATAATAATGACTCCATAGTCATTATTATTATTATTATCAAAAGTAATTTATCACTTTAAACATTTAAAACTTATTGATAATAAATATTAAAGTAATCTTTGACACTCGTTTCTATGACTGCCGTTTGACTCTGTGGTCGATTCGGGTTTTGTCGTGGAACGAGTACACGAAATGTTACGAAACTTGTTTATCACAAATTCTGGTTGCTATATATATGGGAACTGGTTGGTGCGGTGTTTAGTTCGGTTGAGCGGCCGAACCAATCAGAAGCCTTTAAAAGTGGACTTTAATGTCGAAAGTAAATGGCTGGTGCCAACAAACTAATTTATGACGACAGTATTGCTGACGTCATTATCTTCAACAATTCATCGTGGAGTCTGGACAATATAATTACGGCGTTCAAACGCCGACATATATAATATACCAATCGTTGTTTATTACGAAAACTTAAACATGGAAAAGCCAGTGGTGTGATTCGAAATTCAAATTTTAAAATAAATTTAATTGTTTAAATAATAATATATAGTGTTTATGAAGAGAGAATAATAAGTATTATTACGACATACGTGTTTTTATGTATTACAGGGTATTTTTGAGATTAAAACAATTTCGATTAAAAAACATACGTGAACTGATTAAAACTATTATTTACTTAACGTATATAATAAATATAGCCTTTGTTCCTCAAGGATGAGCGTGAAATGGTGAAAGAATTTTTAAAGTCGGCTTTTTAGTTTTTGAATTTATTCGTTACAAACAAATCTTTCCTCTGTATATTTAGTACACATAGCTAAAGATAAACAGATAGCACACTAAATATATTTTTTTACTTATAACAAATGCTATTAAAAATACAACATAGTAAATAGTACCTGGATTTGCTCGCTCCCTGAATGCTCAGTTCGATGTCATCACCGAGTCCATCATTTCTTGTGTCCATCTCTAAGTCTTATCTCTTTCCTTTTCTATTCACTCTACGTTCACTTTAACTCTACTATAGATTGCAAGTCAGGGAGACTGTGTTAACATTGTTTTAAAGTACTTGGACTAGAAATAAGATTAATTCTGAAACAATAATGAAATTCATATACAAGGGGTCCTAAAATCCTTGGTCTTGGAAAAAATCTACAGCCGAGACTCAAACGTAGAAACTCAATGTTGAGAGGATATTTAAGCTACTAGGTCTACCGTGCTCTATAATATCACGTTTTTTATTATTTATAATAACGTATTCAAACGATGTAGAGTTTCTAACTGATCTTGTTCACACACGATTCTACTATTATAATCAAATTATAAATCCACGTAAACAACGTATACATATTTCCCTGTTACCAAAATATCAGTAAAAAAAAAAATATCAGTACAATATACAGTTTCTAAACGTGACGCTGCCTCATAAGGAATATCGATTTCCGCTGAAGCCTTCCCATCATAAATATCTTGATAAGAAAAATGAAGAGATGTGCAAGGCTGATGTAATGGTATTGTAAGAGCCGCATTCAAAGTGATAGCGCGTAAACGTTTGCAAGAATGAGGGCCCTAGGCAAAAACAATTGACCCGCTATGGGGTAAGATACTAGATATTTGTTTTGAAATCAAAGTTTTAATTGAACATCTACATACTAATACACTAATAACATTACGAGTATATATAATGTAATATAAACGTAAAACTTTAGCACGACATGTTTTAGAAAGCCGTTTATTATTTCTAACTGATATTACGATATACTAAAAATACAAACCAATGCGTCGCTATCAAATGTATTGAGAATTAATTTAAAAATTTGAGAATTAATAACAATAAAACGTTGGTGTTTCGTACCAATTCGGGCTCTAACTGATTGAATGACAGCCCTGAATTACTTAATCGCAAAGTATTATAAAATATTGTAAAAAAGTTAAACGTGATCTGAAATATAGTTTAAACGCAGTACTAGAATTTGAACTTCATCAAGAGTTACTTAGGTAATTTAATGTATAAGCGAAATGGTTAAGGATTCGATTTTCAACACACGACATGTTCAACATGTTCGTTTTTAAATACTTAAATATTACCTACACGCTATTTCTAGACCCGAATAGTCTCGACAAACTGATAATAGTAGGGATTAGTGATGGCATTAGAAGTTCGGGACCGCGTACCCGTTGGTCTGACCAAATTAAGACAGTTATGGGTCTTAACATCCTTAATGCCCTGATGAGGTTAGAGTGGTATGGAGGCAGCAACATATCGGCTAGGCACGACCTCCAGTAATGAATACAACAAAGAACATCTATCTATTCCGAAGGAAAAAGCCGGCATATCTTAGGGTATTTTAGTAGAGACTCAGCGGTATTGCAGGTGCAACTTGGTGATTTAAGAGAGCGAATGAGAGTTTATTAGTTCTTCTCATCCGTTCTACGCCTTTGATTTGAGAATTGGCAGAAAATTTAAATTTAGAACTGCGATACTGACGTTAAGTGATACTTTGACTTATTCAGTATTCATCTTGGGAGTTGTATTCTTGTGGCAAATATAATTATCGTAATAGAATAACAACTAGCAATCAGTTGAAGATGATCGAAAGATTGATATGCGGGTCTCATTCATTATTCTATTCAACCTGACCTGCTGATTCATGGATTATTTATAACCGATTCCAAAAGAGAAGGTAATCATCGTTTTATATACGGGTTAGTCGTGGTTTGGTTTCAGAAGCTACACAGAATTTCCCGTTTTCCGTTTGACGTTATTACGAAAATTAATATTTAGTTACGATTTCACTTTATTCAGCCTTATAAATTAACCCAAAGGAAAGCAAACGAAAACATTTAGACGAGTTGAAAGAAGGTAGCCAATAGTATGGGAGCTACCCTCATTTTCCGCAACTATCGCCCGGTACTGTAATATTCACGCACTATATGTACAGTCATATAATGTATTAACATGTTTAATACTAACGTTAAATTCAATTGAAACTTCTCAATTTAATTTACACTACAAAGTTTTAAACACGCATATATAACAATAGCACACGTTGCACGGACACAACAAAGATCTCTAAACCGATCACCGCTTGATAACCTACCTCAGTTAAAATCTACACACACAACACTATACACATTATCATACACATACACAAACATCAGCAAAATGGCGGACAGTTCGGCAGATACGTGTTAGTCCGCCACATGCTTGATCACGAATGATCCTGGTAGACATCACAGGTTACAGGAATACATGTGAACTGTTCAACTGTCAAACGGTAAAAGAATTTATGAGCGTTTCGACCCTCCGGAAGGTGTAACCCGCGGGAGTTCGTTGATGACATTTAGTTCAATTGATCGATAGGATTCAACAGGTATACGACGTACATACAAAAGTTCAGAGTACGAATGTTTTACTGATATCGAATGCTCTACTAAGAGCACATGTATGGGCTGGGCTTACATTTCCCGGATGTTAAAAAAAACATATAAATTATGATTATGAAAAGTAAAGCCAATAATACTTAAAAGCGGATTCCTTATTATTTTTAAGAATGTTAAGTAAAGTTTAAATAATTGTTGGACAATATATTTTCCAAATCTTTTTTTTTTATGTTACAGGAAGCAGACGTGATGTTAAGTGATACCGCCGCCCATGGACACTCGCACTGCCAGAAGGCTTGCAAGCGCGATGCCGGCCTTTTAAGAAATGGTACGCCCTTTTCTTGAAGGACCCTTAGTCGAATTGGTACGGTAATACTTCAGTGGGCAGCTGGTTCCACATAGTGGTGGTGCGCGGCAGAAATTGCCTTAAGAATCACTCAGTTGTGGACCGACGGACGTCAAGGTGATACGGATGGTATTTTGTATTCTGCCTTGACGACCGATAATGAAACAAAAATATATTGAAAGCAGTTTAAATAAATGTATTTTGTAACTATTTTACCTTATCTCTATATATAGAAATATTAAGGATACATTTTTGGGTTAAAATATAGTATACCGGATCACTAACGGAAATTGGGCGGGCGGCAAAATACGTACTAACAGAAAGATCGTATTTGTAATTTACGTAGGGATTTCATTAGCTTTTTTAAAATTATTTATTAATTTTAAAAAGGCATATACACTTACGGAGAACACACGACTTATAAAAACACAATACATGTATGTGCATCAATGACAAGTGTACACAATATTTAAAGGGACACATTACAATGATAAAAGAGACAAGAAATTATGCAACAAAAATAAAAGACAAAAAACTAGATTAATAAATACAAGTATGCAATTTAAAAATATATATTTCAATTGTTATTATTGGTGACGGAACACCAGTGGCTGCAGCATCTTACGCCTGAAGACATAAAATGGATCTGTTTCGCATGTACTCAAAGCGTCGTTTACTGCAGATACAGATCTGTTTATTGGAGCATTACAACCGACGTTGGTCCTCACTAGCCGAAGAAAAAAAAGGACTGATGTTTGTGTAAGAGAAAATTCACTTGACTTAAAACATTTGGTAAATCTACCAAGTTATTTAATTGAAAATAGACTAAATTTAACTACAAAAATAGAACAAAACGAGATATTTTCAAGGATAAAACAAATATCTTTAACGATTTCAGTGTTCTTGTTATTGATACCACTTAAATGGCATCCATAAATTTTAATTCGTATAATTGCTTACATTAAAATAAAATGCAACCATTTACACGTAATTCGTAAAATTTCAATAACGCGTAGATAGCCAAATTATTTTTGATGAACGTTAGTATGGAAAATAAATAGCTTAAGCTAATTCTTAATCTTCACCTACACGACAATTTAAAAGATACAAAATATTCTAAATACTCTAAAATAATAATTAAAAATATATTATTTGGCGTGTAGCAGTCGTGTTTTAAATAAGTTCTATATGTAATCGCGTATGAAGCTAATTTATAAAATAATATAATTTATTTGAGGTAAAGAAAGCGCTACTCACTTTCCCGCCTATTTTCGTTTCCCGTGACGTCAGCACAGCTAGACCTTTACGTGGGGAATGGACAAAGGGCAATTTCAGCCGAGTCCTGGTTCCCGCGCATGTGCACAGCCTCCGAAGCCTCAAGGCCAATAACTGCAAAGTTATTGTGTAAATAAAAGCTGTTAGGTGCGCGAGGAAAGCTCGGAAATTGGGTTTTCGTTTTCAGGGTAAAAATATATTTTATTCCATTCCTTTGTTACGACCTCGCTCTGTTTTGTGTTGTTTTAAATTGATAGAAACAGCGAATGCGATGATTTCCTTCTGCGATGAAATAATGCAACAGAAAAAGTCTGCAGAAAAAGGTAGCAGGATACCGTAAGATGCTCTCCCCTCTCCTTCCATCTCTTTAAAGGCTTTTTAAGGACTTTTTGTTGACGCTATATTGCTAGGAGTATACCGCTGAGTTCTCAGTAATGAGCGACCCTCGGAGCCTCTGTGATGCGGTCGTATATGTCATGTCATAGTTTTACTATTAATGGCAATGCACGTATATATATACACATTTTATTCAACAAGTGATATAAAATTAAAGAACCCAAAATGAGCCTGCTCGGAGTATCTTCAATAAGCAGTAATTAAGTTCTCTTGAGATCAGTGGAATATCAGATTATTCCTATAGAGACGTCCTTTGGCGATGGATTGTAAGATCTGAATAATTTTGATAGAAATTATTTCGCGGTCACGGTTTCGAAAAAGATTACGACAATATTTTGTTAAAACGTAACGATAATTTAAACTGTTTCACACGCTCTCGCGTGATATCAGGCTACAAACCTTTTACAATCATACACGTATATGTGACTGAGGAATTCTGTAGCTTCCTAAAAAATCATTTCTTTAAATAGTACTGTTAGCCACGCGTGTAGTAAACTCAAAAACAACGCATTATGAGGGAACTGGAGGGAACTGAATATCTAAAAAATCTATTTGTATCAACCACC